CCACCCCCTCACCCCCTCCTACCTTGAGCACCTCCTTGAGCTGCACCTCCCTGCTGTACATGCGCTGCAACGTCACCAGCTGCGTGCGCAGCTCCTGGTTGCGAGCACACATGCTGTCCAGCTGGCCCTGGTGGTGGGGGTGATGGTGGTGGTGATGGTGGTGGTGATGGTGGTGCGGGGATGCGGGGATGCAGGGTTAGGTAGGGTGTAATGGGTTAACAACCGCGGGGGTGAGGGGGAAGGATTGGAGGAAGAGATGCGGGTGTTTGGGTGGCTAGAGGAAACACCAACCCCGTGACATGTAGGCTCTACCATGTTGAGGGAGAAAGGGAGACGAGGAGAGCCATGTGCGGCCTTACCTACCTGCATGTGCGATATGAACTCCATGCGCTTCGCCCGACACTTGCGAGCTGCCAGGCGGTTACGTTCCCTTCTGAGTCTGCGGGTGTTGCCGTGGCAGTGTCCTTGTTGTTGTTAGGTTGCAGCCGTGTGAAGCGGTTGGGTAAGGGCGGTGCGCTCGACGTCAGCAGATCAGGTCATGCAAGGATGGCCGTGATTTCAAGGGGAATGCTATCATTATAAGGCTTGTATATAGAGGCACTTACACAGTCTTATCTGCGGACTTCAGGACCTTGGGGCTCCCTGCCGCAGCGGCGGCGGCAGCCTCGGCGGCCGCGGCGGCCGCCGCCACCGCCGCCGCCGCTGCCTCCGACGCCGTACCAACGAGCGGCGAAGGACTCGTAAGCTCCGCAGCCGCAGCCGAAGGCGCTGGCGCGATCGCTGGTGCTGCCGCCGCCACCATCGCCAGCGTCGCTTGCGTGGTAGCTACCGCGGGCGTTGCCGGTGCCGCTACTGCAGCCGCTGCTGTTGTTGCAGTCTTGCGTTTTTTGTTCGGCGGGGTTTGTACGGCAGGCGGACGTGCGGCTGGCGGCGCGCGTGGGTTGTTGGTAGCGGCGGCGGCGCCGCCGCCGCCGCCGGCATTCCGTTTCGTACCGCCGCCGCCGCCGCGCTCGGGGGCGCTGGCGGAGGCGCCAGCACCCGCCGTCGGCGCAGCGGCGGCGGCGGTAGCTCTGCCACTTGTTGCTAGAGGCGGTGGCGGAAGACGTAGGAACGGGCGGAACGGCGGCAGCGGCGGCGGCAGTGGCGGCAACTTGTCGATGTCGGCGGCGGTTAGTTGGTTGGTAATGCCGTACAGTGGCGCAGGAAGGTTGTCGTACGGATTCGTAGCAGCGTTCGACGTCGCAAGGCCCCGGCCGACGGCGGCGCCGCTGCCGCCGTCGCCGCCGACCCCTCCCGCATCTTCCTCTTCCTCCTCTTCCTCCTCCTCCCCGTAATCGCTTCCCGACTCGCTACCTGCTTCCTCCTCGCTACCTATACCCTCGCCGCCATCTCCATCGCCGCCGCCGCTGCCGTCCTTGCCGTACCACTCCCGAGCCACAGCAGCAATCGTCGCCACAGCTTGCGTCGCCGCTTGCCGCCGCCGCCTTCCTGTGCCGTCGCCGCCGCCGCCGCCGCCGCCGCCGTCACCTCTCGCGGCCTCTCGCATGGACGCCGCCGTTAACGGGCGCCGCAGCTGCAGAGGTGAAGGAGCCCCCTGCTGCTGTCGGGAGGAGGTATAGGGAGCATGCGGGCCGCTGCCGCGGCGTGGGGGATGCTGCATGGGTTGCTGTTGGCTGGACCCGTGGCGCTGCCTCTGCTGCTGCTGCTGTCGTTGTTGCTGGTGTTGTTGTTGTTGCTGCTGGTGTTGCTGCTGCTGCTGCAACATGGCTTCCTGTTGAGTTGGGAGTTGTGGGATTGAACGTACCCTGACTTCTATTTTTGGCGGCGGTGGATAGCCCCTACGCTGCTGCTGCGAACGCTGTTGTTGCTGCTGCGGTTGCTGCAGACGCTGCTGCTGCCGAAGCACCAGAACCTGTGCAGGTGGATGATGTTGTGGGGGAGTGCGGGCGAGCCCTCCGGATGCGGTCCTAGGCAGGGGCGGAGTCCGCGAAGGGGGGTGTCTGTCCCCGCCACCAGGGCCGCCCCTGCCTGCCGTCTGCCGCTGCCCAACACCATCTCGTCCAGCGACGGAATGCACGGAAGCCCCCTCCGGCTGCACCGGGGATGCAAACAAGGTTTTATACTGCCCGCTGCCGCCGCCGCCCGGGCTGCTGTTCCCCCCTGCGCTGCTGTTACCCGGCGTGTCAACCTCGCTGCCGCCAGCGGCGCCGACGGCGGCGGCGGCTGACAACGGCGTTGGCGGCTGTACGGCAGCGGTGCGGCCGCCAAGGGTTGCCGTACGCAGCAACCTGCCGACGGCGTCGCCCGACACGAGCGCGAGTGGAGTCGTCGGGTCGGCGGCGGCAAACGCCGCCGTCCGGGGTCGTACAATCGGCGGCGGCGGAGTGGGTGTGACGGCGGCAGCAGGCCCCTCCGCCGCCGCCACCATTGACGCTGCGGCGAAGGGTGTAAGTGTGGGCGCGGCAGCGGCGCCGCTGGCAGTCAGCGGCAATGCAGGTGCCGCGCCGACGCCGGCGCCGGCAGCGGCAGTGGAAGCATCCACCTGTGGCGGCGGCGGCGGCGCGGTGCGGGGCGCGCCGTCGTCGCTGTTTCGGTCGCAGTCGCAGTCGCTGCCGCCGCCGGCCTCCGCCGCAATGGCGGCGGCGGCGAGCGTGTCGAGCGACCCCAGCCGCATCGTCTCCAGTCGCTCGTCGATTGCGGCGAAGAAGGCCAGGGAAGGCGCGTGCGTTAGGTCCATTGTGTCACACGCCAAGTGAGGGCAGTGCGGCGCGCGGGTCCGTAAAGGAAGACAGGGAAGACAGGAAAGTGACTGATGGACTTGTCGCGACTTGTTGCGGGTGTGTCACCAGGAGGAGGGAGTGAAGAGAGGTAGAGAAGTGCTGGAACGCGATTATGCTTGTAGATAGAGTTGCGCGGTAGTGTTGCCGGTTCAGGTGGGCCGGCTCTGCTGACGGGCTGCTCCCACGGCTGGTGGTACGTGACTACGTGGCTGCTAGGTACGTGCTGGCAAGAAGTACGGCAGTTACACCGTAGAAAAACCGTTATGTAACCGCCGATCGTACTGCTGCTGCCGCTGCAACGCTGAAATTGCTTGAGGAAGAGAAAACGGCTGCTCCTTGAGTGGTGGCAAGGCTGTTAAAAGGGGGCCACTTGGCTAGGCAGGAAAGCTGACAGTGACTCTGCGTGAGCCGTAGTTGTGGCTGCTGCCCTCCGGCTGCACGTTGTATGCTGACTGCGCCCCTGGTTGTTTTTCTTGTCAGAAGCGAAACATTATCAGCCCACAAGCGTCCGCAGCTTAGCGACAGTCGTGTAGGCTCAAAGCTGTCCTGCGGCCGCGAAGGTTAACGTAAAGCGTAGGCAAGATTAGTATTCTATACCCCGATTGCCTGTTACGAGCTGCGTAATGGCTGCGTAATGAGAAACATTCCCCACCTAAGATGCTTCGGGGCAACCTGGGGTCTAAAGGTATAAGCCAATCGCTTTGCCGTTGCTCGGTCCCGCGCCAGTTGGAAGGCAGCGGCCGCCTTTTACGGCGAGGATCCAAATCGGATAGCGGAAGCGCAACAGGATTGTGCGATGCTGCAGATTATGGCGTTTAAAGCTGCTGTCAGTGTGCGTTGCCAATCGTTGTCAGTTTTCGATGCTATGGCAGCAGCTGAACGGGCCTCAGGAGCGGTGTTTGATTGCAAACATGTGATCAGCGACCCATATCATCTTAAAAAAGTTACTTACTGTCATTACTTGCAATGTTTCAGAGCCCGCGCAAGCCTTCACAAGTTGTAGTTATCGTGGCGTCAGCAGCTTCGGAGCCAAAATTTAATGCTTGAAGACCGTATGTTGGGCTTAGTCCCTCGATCAATTTGCCTGTTCCAGGTGCCTATGTAACAAGCTTTTGCTTATTCAGGACGCAACATATCACCCCAGATGACCCACGGGTCAAACCACTGCTATTGGTAGCACGCTGACGCAACCACGTTGGCGCCAAAAACAAAAATGTACGGGACCGAGCGGCCACCAAGCAATAGGGGCAACGATGCCTTAAATGCTAATTTACCTTGCCCCTTGCCTGAACTTCCTTGCAAGCAGGTTCAGATACTAGGACAACGCCCCCCTTCATTGCAACATTTCAACATCATGACCAGTATACCGGCCACAAATCCGGGTATTGTCTTCTTCCCTTGGGACCAGCACATTGGGGGGCATCTGACGCCTAATGCTTTTATGTCTTCAGGTTTGGATCTTTTTTTCCGGAAGGGAACGGTGCGGCAAAGGGGTGCAGCGCCATGAAGGGTTGAGCTGGACACGTTTGTGCTGCCGCTGCCCCTTGCGCGTCCGTTAACGGTGTTAGACAGCTCGGGCGCTTCAATGGCCCGGGGTGGGCCCAAGGCCGGCCCTTGCGGACCCGTACTGGCCAGGTATGGGTTGGGACATCAGCACATAACCCTAACTAAGCACATCCGCCCCTTACCAACTATGCACTCTTTCATTTCCACCGGTCTGCCTGGTTTAAAGCGCCATGTGACTTCGCCGCTACTCGACTCCATATTGGCGCTGTAAATTTATTTGTTTGGCTTGCAAACCCATAATGTTTCCTGGTACAGAGCCAAGCTAGGTATCCTCGTCAATGTAACCAGTGTTAACTCAACTTTGCGATTTCGAAAATGGTTAGGACGACCCAGGATTAGGCCTGACATCGAGCATGTCCGCTGGTTACAAGGCCTACTGCCGGTGTTCGGCTCAACTGTTCCTGTGCGTGCCTGCAAACTCCAAATAATGCAATAGACGAAGAGCGTCCTGTACTGTTCAGACTATGGAAACCCACAGTGTTCAAAGGGTGTCCAACGACGCTACAGCGAATGAGGTATTAACCTTAGCAAAAATGCTCTACGCACGTTTTCGTTCTGACATGGAATTGGGTCGATTGAACCAGGAAGGGTGTTGCTTAGTGTACGGCAGCGCCATCATCTTCCGGTCCCGCGTATGCAGAGCGTCAAGGCTCGTGAATCGTCTCAACATGGAGAAAGTCGACATAGCTTGCTTAGCCTCGTTACTATAGTTATAAGAGCTCTTAGAAGTTGACACCTACCCCTTTCTGGCTAAGTCTCGATTGGGCAAACCTTTAGGCACAATGCTGTAGTCCGTCTGGTACAGAGCATACAATATAGATAGCCATGGCGAGCCGCCGCGTTCGGCGCCATGCGATGGGCGTCAGGTGGGCCACGTTCTTCACTGCTTAAGGCATAGTGTGGGTAGAAGTATAACAGGTTATCATCTCCCTTTCACTGCAGCAATTTGTCCAGCCATGATGACGATGCATCGACGGGGAGGTAGGGCTCAAGAGTCGCCCAGAGCAGCTTTCTAACTTGTGCATGCTCTGCATGTTGAGTGCTTCTGGCGGCGTCGTCTACAGCTTTTGTGCTTTGGTGATCACGTTGCCTGAAGATGGGATTTTGCGTCGACTTCGCTTTTAACGAAGGCCTACCGGATAGTCAACACCGGAGGCTCCTTAGCTTTTCAGCTGGACTTTATTGTTGTTGTTATCTAAGGGCGTGCCCTCTGCGCCTTGCGCTGTCTTTGCCTATCCTCAGGAACACCGTCTCGCTCATCCATGCGGACCGGTTGGTCAAAGTGGCCCACCGCGACAGGTAACCTGCAAAAATGCCGTCGGGCATGTATGAACCATGTACAGGATGCGGCATTCGGGGTTGTGTCAGCGCGCAAAACTCGGACAGGGAATGGTGCGGATTGGGAATGTGCGGTGCCTGTTGGCTGATGGAGCCATGGAAATCCCCAAGCAAAGAATAATACAACAGAACAACCAATCCATGGGCTTGTAGCAACGCTTCCTGGTTTATGCCCTTCCCGTAGGCCCACCGAGCCCGCTGCTCGTGAAACCCGCGTGGAGGACCGCCCCACCGTGTACAAGGTGCATGACAAGCTCTTCAGGACCTTCCGAGAGGTAAGCAACACCACGCCCCAACCACCGCCGTACTTGTCCACTCACCGTTGCCCTCCAACCGCACCCCCCCACACCGCACCGTTCAACTCCTCTCCCTCCTTTCCCCGCTCTCCCCTTACCTTCCCTCCTCCCTCCTGTCAGCCCTACGTCCACAAGGTGCTCCGCAGCTGCTGCCCCGACAGCTCCGGGCTGCTCACTCCCGAGCAGCTGGCGGGGGCGCTGGAGCGGCTGCATGTGGGGCTGCAGCCGGGGGAGGCCAGCAGGCTGATCGCCAGGGTGGCGCCGCAGGGGGAGAAGGTGAGGAGGCAAGAGGGGACGCCGGGGCGGTGGTGGGGGGGGTGGACGGGTGGGGGGGAGGCCAGAGAACCGGGAAAGCACGGAAGCGTACAAAGGTAGATAGGGTTCTACGCGTATACGTAATAGCTGTATGGGGAAAACCTATCTGGGTACCTGTCACTATGCTCTGTACGACATGCCATCCCCACGGACCCGGTCCCCCACCCCACCCCACAGGTGCACTACATTGACTTCCTGCGTTCGCTGGAGGTGCCTCAGCCGCTGGGCGGGGAGGCGGTGGCGCTGGCCCGTGGCAGCAGCATACCCGGGCCCCCCACGGTGCGGCCGGGGGGCGGGGGACATGGAGCGGGGGATGTCGTACTGCGTGGCGGCAGCACTGGCGGCAGCGGCAGTGGCGAGGGTAGCGTGGGAGATGCTGGCAGCAGCGGACGGTCGTACTGGAACTGGCGGCGGTATCCTTCACAGGTGGGAGGGTGCGGAGGGCCAAGGGTCCAACCATGATCCAGTTCTGTTCGCTGTGGCTCCTCCCCTACGCCCTGCTCTCATCCATGCGCAATCTCCTCTTCCAGTCTGTTTTTACCTGTACCCTCCTTCACCCTGCTCCCTCCCCCACTCACCTCCCTACCTCCCCCAGCGCCTGGTCCCCGGGTTGCTGCCGGCCTCCGCCTCCGCGGGCGATCCCCAGCACCCCCAGCAGCGGCAGCAGCAGGCGCACAGCGACGCGCTGGTGACCTCGCTGTTGGTGGGGCGGGTGGCGGGTGGGCGGCCGGAGAAGATGCGGGCGGTGTTCCGGAGGCTGGATGCGGACCGGGACTCGAGGATCAGCAAGGAGGAGTTCGCCAGGGGGGTGAGTGGGCGTGGGGGGGGGGGGGGGCATTGAGGAAGGCTGACCATGCGATGCGGGGTGTCCTGGCAGAAGGGGGTAGATAGGGCGTAGGAAGGGGAAAGGAATGCTGATGAGGCAGCTTCTTGGCATTGCACCATTGTACCCGGAATATCCTCGCGCCTTGCCTCAAGCCTCCCATGTATCTCCTGCGTGCTGCCTACTTCACTGTCGCAGATCGCGATGTTGGGTCTGGACGTGCCTCGCGACCAGGCAGACCGCCTCTTCGACCTCTCTGACCTGGACGGAGACGGCCGACTGGACTATTCGGAATTCGTGGCGCGATTCGAGGAGCAGGGCGGCAGGCGGCAGAGGCAGCCGAGGGCGGAGGTGGAGGCCAGGAAAAAGGAGGGAGCACAGCGGTTGCAACCCCTAGACAGCATGCGACATGAGGAGGGCCCGCAGCCGCAGCAGCAAGTACCTGAGGAGGTGGCGGAGGGCGCGCTGCGCAGTCCTCTGGTGTACGATCTGGCTCGCAGCATGTACGGCAGGGGCGCTGCGGGCGCTGCTGCGGTGTTCCAGCGCTACGACGGCACCCGCAGCGGGCGGCTGGGGCTGTCGGAGCTGACCCGGGGCTGCCAGGACCTGGTGCCGGGTGAGACGCATGCGGGGGGGTGCCGGGTGAGGCACATGCGGGGAGAAGCACCAAATGAGAAGTGCAGTAACTGGAGTCCCACACACATGGGGAGGAGTGCCTTGGGCTGTAGTAGTGTGGCTTTGGATTGGCCTTTCTGTGGGCCCCATCCCTGGACCCATGGTTTCCTCTCTTTTCTCCTTCCTTCCGAATATCCTCCCTACAGGCATCACCGAGCGCCACGTAGCTGCCCTGGTCTCTGCCCTGGAGCAGCCAATCACCGCCACAACCACCACCCGCGCCTCGCCAACGGCGAAGAATCCCGCGGAGGCCACCACCACCGGCGCTAACAACAGCGGCAGCGCTTCCGCAACCGCAGCAGCAGCGGTAACCGACTACCGCGCCTTTGTGGGCAACCTGCTAGAAAGCGGCCTGGCGCAGCACCCAAGACTCAGCAACAACAACCCCGCGTCGTCGCTTGGAACGACTCGTGGGTCACGGCAGCACCCCACGCGGCTGCTGCATAGCGCGCCCTCGCCTGGGGAGGCGGGCAGCGCCCTCACGCGGACGTGGCTGGGGCCTGAGGTAAGGGCGGGGAAAAGCGCCCGTTCGTGGTGTACCGTAGTGCAGGGTACAGGGAAGGGTGGCATTTCCCCAGCTTCAATTGATCATCGAGTTAGTGTAGCAGGGAAAAGAATACCTGGATGGGCCGTGTGTTGTCTGTTGCAGCGCCCTGTTCCCTAGCTTACGCCCGCTCTCTTCCTCCATCCGTTCCTTCCCACGCCACAGGACCTCCCCTTCCCACCGCCCGGACGCTGCCTCTCCGCCGTCGACCGCTCCTGCTCCACCTCCGCCTCCGCCGCCTCGTCTCCCCGAGGCCCTCAGCCCGCCGCCGCCACTGCTACCTCCCCCCCAGCCTTGAATGCCGTATCCCAGGACCGTACGGCACTGTACCGCCTACATGAAGTCGCCATCACACCCTTCCTGGAGGCCCTGCAACGCTCCGCCGCTACTGCCGCTCCTGCTACCGGTAACACCGCAGCGTCCGGAAGCGACATTGCTACTGCTGGTGCTACTGCTACTGCGGGTAGCGGGTTGTTACCGTTGGTGAGTGTGCGTAGCGTGGACCTGGGTTCGCTGGATCGCTCTACCAAGCGTTCGGACTCCATGGTACGACAGCAGCAGCAGCAGGAGGAGGAGCAGCGCCGGCAAGCGGAGACAGGCATGGCTGCTGCGGCTACTGCTGGGGCTAGGACGGCTCGCGCCAGCAGTGGCCGGCCGGCAGCGCATGCGCCGGCACATGCAACCGGGCGGTGTGGTCGCTTCTGGCAGCAGCGTTACGCCGACACCAGTAGCATCACCTCGGCGCCCGCCGCCTCCGCCGCCGCGCCGCCGGCGGAGGGCACGTTTGTTCGGAAGAGCGGCGGCGGCGGCGGAGCTGACTTCCTGCGGTTCCAGGCTGAGGATCGTGAGCATGAGAACAGGAGGCGGCAGCAGGTGAGGCAGGTTGCTGCTGCGGGGGTGTTGTACCGGCAAACGTCTGCCAGCTGCGAGCGATACAGTACCTACGGATTATGTACGACATTCCGCTAACCCTATCCCTGCCCTCCGGTCCGTGTTTCACACCCCACTCACCCCTCTTTTCCTCTCTCTTCTGCCGCACAGCTGGTTCAGCGCTACCGCGCACGTGCCGAGGCGGAGGCTCGCTACTCGGCTGCGGACGACGCCAGCGGGGCCGACCAGGGGAGGCTGGCGGTGGCACGGGCGGCGCGGCAGAGGTGGGGGGCATGTCCGCATGTGGGGATGGGGCAGAGCGCACGATGGATGGGAGAAAGAGGGACCTGGAGGTCTTGGGCGGTAAAAGGGGAGAGAGGCGCAGCCAGTGGAGGCGTACGATTGCAAACACTGCCACGAAGCTGGCCAGCTGGGTCAGTCCTTGACCGAGCGGGTTTACCAAATACCCATCGTCTTGCCCTGCCAGCCCGCCTGCCTACCTCGCCTGACCACTCGCATGCCCGCCTGCCCACCTCGCCTGTCGTCCAGGTACGAGGAGCGCAATGAGATGTACGACCGCATCCGTCAGACGACCGCACTCGAGGGCGCCAGTCTGTTCAGTCGTCCGCCCGCCTTCCACGAGCATCAGCTGGAGGGGCAGAACACGCCCACGCGCTACTACTGGTAGGCGGCGGAACCCAGCCGACCCGAACCACATCTTCCTGCCGTGTTGGCTTTGCTGTTCTCTTCGCCCGCGCCGTGAGGCGGCTAGGGCGGTGGCGGCGTACTGCTACCGGTAGCCCTGCTTACGGCACAGGGACGGATTGGGAAACCTTGTTGAAGCGTGCTTGTGAAATGAATGGAGGTCGTTAGGTGGGTCATAGCTGCAGGACTGCGAGTAGAACGGGGCAAAAGCAGGGAGCTAAAACGGTGGGCAATGGGGGCATCAGGGGTGCTTCGGGCGAGCTGCGAGCAGTAGCAATGCGGGAAAGCCTGGTTTTGGAGGTACTGGGTTACGTCATCGTGCGTCCTAGTGGGTGTTTGGATGTCCTCATGAGGTTCAATAGGGGTCGAAGTGTTCTTAAAATAAAAGGTTGAATTCTGTCCCGTAAGAAAATGGCGGCAGCTATCTAGCGAGCCGCCCCTCGTGCCTATCTGCTGCTGCGGGTGGACCGCTGCCAGCGTGTGTGTCAGCGCTGACAGCCGGCGCCCGCAGCAGCAGAGTGCTGCCCAGTCGGCAGAGGCGCCCACACACACACAAAATGACACATCATGCACGCGCCGGTACCGCATGTACCCTAACGCACCCAGCAAGAGCTGCTAGGCATGCACCCTTCTATCATCCTTACAACGAACGGGTGCAGTGTGTGGTCAGTGGGTGGGTTTTGTGAAAAGCACGCAGGGGTGGAGCAGATGTGCTTTTGCGCCGAGACATGTCCCGCCGGCGCCGCACTCCGTTCTGTTTGTCGTTGTGAGCCCTTTCAGGGTTGACAGGAAGCCTCTCGGGCTGTGGAGTAGAGGTGGTGTTTGAGCCAGGGTGCTCTAGTTGCAGAGGTGTCATACTGCCCTTCTTATTTGGCAGGATGGTAGTGGGCACGGGAATTGTTTGAAGACGCGGCATGTCGGGCGGGAAGTGGACTGTCTTGAGGCAGCATTTTGTAAGGAATGCCATGCACGGTAGCCCACGTCCCCGCATGCCTGCAAGTACGGCCTGTGCTTGGTAGACGCGCGGGGCTAGGGGCTGTCAGGGATAAGCCGTGCTGGGTGGGTTGTGAAGGAGGAAGAAGAGGCGGATAGGGGAGGTGCTGCAGGCGTGTTAATCTTGCTGTTAATGCCGTTATTAGGCTTTGCACACAGCTGTTGGAGTGTTGAGGTCGAAGTGTGGTGGCACTGACAACCAGACGTGATAGGTGCATGTGGCATGCAGGAATGGCAGGGACGGTAGCGAGCATCCAACACTGGCTCCTCGTGTTTCATACCAAGACGCGGTTAGCGGTTTACGTAGCGATAATGGAAGGAATGCTGGTTGCCCTAGGAGGAAGTGTGCCTTGGGTTGGCGGGGGCAGCAGCAGCAGGGTGGCTGGGTGTTTTGTGAAGCAACGTAGGTGCAGGGTGCGTTTGCGTCTGCTGGTTGGGGGCGGAGGGCTGCATTGCAGGACACAAGTGGGCATGTGGCAGTGAGTGGAGTGAATCGATGTCGGTTGGAGACCGCGGTTGTGAGGGGGCTTCTGAAGGATGGACTATCGATAGCACGGTGACTGTGCCTGGTTTGAGGCAGGGCGTCTGGGCTTTCTCTTGAACGGGTGTGACCCTGGTTTGCGACGACAACTTTGTGGGGTGAGGTGAGGCGGCTGCCAGTCGGGTGTAGCCTTGCTTGGTCGTATTTGTGACGGCTTGAAGAGCGGTTAGGCTTCCAACATGGGAAGTTGGAATAACTCTTGACATCGACAGGGCGGGCCTAAGGGACGCCAGCATTTACAGCGCCGGTGTGTCATTGATTGGTGTGTTGGAGGCGTGCCGTACGAACGCCCCTGAGAAAGGGGCAGTACCCGTGACGCCGCTCGGGGCTTTTACTGGAATGCATGATAGGGTCGTTGGCGTGGCTCGGACCATGACTGACTGTTTGCATGCACCATTGCAGCATGCGTGCACGCATGCTATTCGTATGTAACAATGCAACAGCTGGCCTGACAAGTCTTACAGGAGGCAAGCCGGAGTGGACCTCGTCTTGGACTATGCAGCAGGGTGAGCATCAGTTTCCTTGCATAAGGTGTCCTTGCCCTAGCGCAGCGCTTTAAGTATGGGCTTAGGAGACGGCAGCGCAATGGCTGTCCCCTGGGTCCATCAATGCTCTTGCAAGACCACAACCCTTCGCGCATGACCAAAAGGCACAAAATGTTGTCCCCCATATGCGATGATCGTTACTGCGCACCCGTGTGAGCTTGCTTTGAGCCCGTACTAGATGTAACGTTGCACGCTGTGTACTTTCGTAGCCCAATTCCGCAGCCTGAAAATTAAGCATACCTTAATATTTGGTCAATAGTTGGTAATATTCTCTGCTATAAATTTTAGACCCGTTGAGGCCATTCAGCAGTCGCCATCCTTGCGCAAGCTCCGAATTTCTGCAGCACGTAAAGGTTGACTTGGGAAAAGGATTAGGCTGTAGGGTTCCTGTTACAGTAGTAAGCCCACAAGGGCTTGCTAAGCACCATGTCTTCTCTTCTGGCGAACCTGCCGGCGCCCACGAAGCAACATGCAGCCCCAATACAAGCTGTGCCAGCATCTTCAGCTATAGTCGCAACAACTTTCAAAGAGCCTCCTCCTTACTTACGGCGGCAGGGCTGGGTGCCCCGTCGCGCGGAGGATTTTGGGGATGGTGGCGCCTTTCCAGAAATTCATGTGGCTCAGTATCCTCTTGATATGGGGAAGGGCAGCGGTGGACGTGGTAACCAGCAGTTGGCGGTAACGTTAAACGCGGACGGGCAGATCAATTACGATGCTATCGTCAAGCAGGGCAGTAACAGAGATCGCGTGGTACACTCAGACCATAGCGCACTGGTACCGAAGGTGGATCGTCTCAGCAAAGAGGTAGGTCGCGTATTGAGACCTGAAACAGGGGTATGAGCCCGTTTGCCGGAGCTGTCGCGATGACATTCCTAGCGTGTCGGTATGTCGATGGGTTTGACGCTTTTCGGTTGCCAAGAAGCGAGGCTGACGGCTTTTGGCCATTTGACCTGCTGGATGGCATGAAATGTTGCGCATCACCCGTCAACATCTTGCCCGGAACCGGACGCTGAACTTAAGCCACGCCCCTCCCTTTCCAGGCCCTTGCCCGTCCCGACGATGAGACGGTGGAAAAGACTATCGCGGAGACGGCTGCGGCGCTGGAGCGGGTGGTGCAGGGCAAGCTCTCCTCCACAAACCCCTCCAAGCTGCCCTCGCAGCCCGGCGCGTCAACACTTATCAAATACACACCGGCGCAGCAGGGGCAGCAGGTGAGCAACCCGGCCCAGGACATTCCAGACACCTCCTCCGCCCTCGCTCATCCCGCCCCTTTCCACCTCTCCCCCACCACTCGTAGTACGCCTCCGGGGCGGGTCAGCGCATCATCAAGATGCAGGACATGCCGGTGGACCCCCTGGAGCCGCCCAAGTTTCGACACGTCAAGGTGCCGCGGGGGCCCGGCTCGCCGCCCGTGCCCGTCATGCACTCCCCGCCGCGACCGCTATCCGTCAAGGATCAACAGGTGGGGTCGTGTGACCCGGTGTCCCGCCGGAACTGCGCGTGCGTAGGCCGGGGCTGGTTACGTTAGGCCTACCTAACTACCCGTAACCCGCACCTGCACCTGCCCACACCATCGCGCTCTCTCCCTCCCTCCACCGCACTGCCTCCCTCAACAGGACTGGAAGATCCCGCCCTCCATCTCCAACTGGAAGAACCCCAAGGGCTACACCATCCCGCTGGACAAGCGCCTGGCTGCCGACGGTCGCGGCCTGCAGCAGACGCAGATCAACGACAAGTTCGCGGCGCTGAGTGAGGCGCTGTTCACGGCGGAGGCCAAGGCGCGGGAGGCCATTGCCATGCGCGCCAGCATCCAGAAGGAGCTAGCACTCAAGGTGGGGGTGTGGGTTTGGGGTTTGCGCGGGTCGGGGTTGAGAGGGTGGAGTTTGGGTGAGGAAGGAGGGTGGGGTTGTGTAAGGAGGCAGCCAAGCAGGGTCATTAGCACCACTGCTCGCCACGTCCAAGAAGACCGCGCCAACACCCTCGTTCCCTTGTACCCCACAGGAGAAGAACAAGCGCGAGACGGAGCTGCGGCAGCTGGCCATGCAGGCGCGCATGGAGCGGCAGGGAGGGGCGGCGGCGGGGGCGGGGGGCATGCCGCCTCCGCCACCAGTCGGGGGTGCTGCAGCGGCAAGAGGTGAGATGGAGGGGGGTGGGTGCGTTTGTTTGTCCTCTGCTTGGGCTTTGCTGGATTTTCCGCATCGTGAAGGCGTTTGACAGGAGACTCGGAAGGAGACATGCATGAGCCGTCTTGCTCATGGAGAACCAACGAACTACACGTCGCTTACTGTGTTTGCTCACCGCATCACCGGCCATCACCCGCAGGTGACGGCTCGTTGCCCGGGCCTCCGCCGGGTCCCCCTCCCCGCGGCGCCGCTCGCGCCACCGCAGCGGATGCCTTTGACGACTTTGACCGTCGCGACCCGCGGGACCGCGAGCGGGCTGGCGGGGACTACGAGCGCGACCGCGAGCGGGATTACCGCGACGACCGAGGCCGCGAGCACGACAGGGACCGGGAGTACGACAGGGGCGGTCGTGGCGGTGGCGATGACGGGGACGAGCGGTACCATGAGAGTGTGGAGGAGCGGGAGGAGCGGCGGCGGAGGGATGAGATTCGGGAGGAGCGGCGGCGGGAGAGGGAGCGGGAGCGGCGACTGGAGGTGAGCGTGGGACGGGAATGTGGAGAGGATGTGTGCGGGTGCGGGGTTACACGATGGGCGCTTCTAACAGGAGGAAGCCAATGGAGCGGGCAGGGGTGCGTCTGATCTTCATCGCTCTCTCCACGAAGCGCCAACTCTTCCAGGCACTAGTTTCCTCTCTTACTCCCTCCCTCCCCCCTACATCTGCCCAGGCCGCCAACCAGGGTGGCTCCAAGAAGTCCAAGATCACTCGGGACCGGGAGCGCGACATCAGCGAGAAGGTGCGCGTGTGGTCGTGGTGCAGCACAGATTTGGGGCGCAATAGAGGAAGCGGGAGGGATGGGGGGCCTTGCATGCGTGCGTGCGTGTGAGAATAGGGCTTTGCCTTGGGATTGGATTGTCGTCAAAGTGTTGACGGAGGTTGTTGTGTGACGGATATTGCTCCTGCGGTGCCGCCTCATTCGCCTTGTCGACGCTCGCTGGCTTGCCTCCTCACCTCCCTTTTCCCTTTCCTCCAACCACCTCAGGTCGCACTGGGTATGGCCCGTATCGACGGCGGCGGGGAGGTGCAGTACGACCAGCGCCTCTTCAACCAGGACGCCGGGATGCAGAGCGGTTTCGGAGCTGACGATTCGTACAACATGTACGACAAGCCGCTCTGGGCGGACCGCGGCTCGCACCTCTTCAAGGCCAGCCGTGCCACGGCGGACGAGGAGGATGACGGCGGCGCGGCGGCGGCGGAGGGTGGACCCCGCACGGACCGCTTCCGGCCCGACAAGGGGTTCCAGGTGAGGAGGAGGCTGCTGCATGGGCTGACATGCAGAGGCGGAAGAGGACGGGACTGCTGCTCTCATGACATGTTGTGCGTCGCGTTGCATGTGCCGTCCTCGTCCTTGCCCGGGTTGTCCCCGCTCGTACCCTGGCTCGTACCTTTCTGTTTCTTATTCCGCCCCCCGGCTGCGGTCCCTCCCACCCTCCTCAGGGTGCCGAGGGGGCGCCGGGCGGTGCGGGCGGGCGGGGCGGCGGACGGCTGGAGTTCGAGCGGCAGGCGGCGGAGGAGGCGGATCCCTTTGGTCTGGACCAGTTCCTGTCGGAGGTTCGCGGCGGCGGGCGGGACCGCGGCGGCGGCCGCAAGGGCAATGCACTGGAAGCCATTGGGCAGCGAGGCGGCATGGCGGCGGCGGGCGGGGGCGCGTCGCTTGATGACGCTGGTGCGGGGGCGGGCATGGGTCGGCGCATGCAGTTCACTAGCGGCAGTGGGCGTTAAGGAGATGAGGTGGAAGGGGGGGGTGTGATATGCAACGAGCTGGGTTAGTACTAGGAGGGGAATGGGGCAAGGGTCCAGGGGGCAGGCAGGGTGGTGTGCGGAGGTGGTGGTCTTGTAGCGGGGATGGATTGATGGTGGTGTAGTAATAGGGAAGGGGATAAAGGAGACTGACGAGCGCTTTGTCTACTAGGGGTAAACACCTCTGCCGGGTGGTAGTAAGGTTGAGAACGGGTTGTTGTTTGGGGTGGGCTACTCGACGTATGTTGGTTACCCTGGCAACAGAGTTTCAGCGCGCGATGCGTTCATGATGGGGACCGAGTAAGGGCGAGGAGGCGTAGCGTGTTGCAGGGTGGACGACTGGGAAGGAGGGAAAGGCTCCGAGCGTTGGTGCTTGAGGCCGCTTCGGTTACAGAGGGCGCGCGTTTGGGGCTGATAGCGGTGCAGGCCGTTCCTGTGTGGTGCGGTGTTTACACATAACATGCAGAACTAGGGCTGCTTGTCACGCTTTGTCAAGACTCAAGGACTGTTGACCGCGGACTAATTAGCAGACCGTAAGCGGAACAGCTGTATAAGGAGCTCTCCGTGCACACATGTTTGCCTAGCTGGTTGTAGACAGTTGTTGCATCCCATGCATCCTGGAAGTCATGGTCTGCCAGCCTTAAGCGGCATGCATAAGCATGGGGACAATTATCGGTACGTAATCAAAATCCTGCGCCCTGGAAGTGTTATATCCTCCAACAGTCGCCCACATTGCTTAACCTTTGCCCCACATCAAGTCACCTTACCGCAAGCCAAGTCGTCGCCCAACATTGGATTCCCCTCTCCCAAACCGGCCATGCCGCAGCCTTCCAGACTCCTCTTCATCGTCCCCCTCACTCCCGCTCTCATCACTGTCCTCGCCCCGCCGCCCTGCCCCGCCCCGCCTCGAACCTCGCTCATTCCCCCACTGCTCCCCTGCCCTTTCCCTTCCCAGACCTCCATCTCCGCCCACATCTTCCCGCCCCTGTCCATGCCGCCCCCGCAACGGCGCGGGCTGCCCTGCGCCCTGCACCTGCCCCGACCGCTCCCTCCGCCACTCCTCATCCCCCTGACCCCTCACCAACGACCCGGGGTCTCTCATTTGGCCTGCTAGCTGCTGCTGCTGCGGTCTCCCATCTTGCCCTGCCCCTCCCTGTCCCCCACCTTCCGCTGCTCCGCCCTCCTCTTCTTGGAATACATCATCCACGTAGGCCATGACACGGCTCTGTTTGAGCCTCAGCATCCGGAGCCGCGCGGTGAGGCCCGACAGCTCCGCTTGGAAGCGAGCAGCGGCGGAGTCCAGGTCGGCTTGGGAGCGGGACTCCAGCAGCGCGATCTGGTTCGGTAGGGGGCAGGTAGCAAATAGGCCCGTAAGCATGGAAGCATGTTGTGGACCTTCCCCCCGCACTGGGGGCACACGTACCTCCTGCTCGTGTGTCCTCTGCTGCTCCGCCAGCTGCTGTTGTAGCGCCGCACACTTCTCCTCTGCGGCCGCGACAGAGCGCCGTGCTGCCTCCGCCGCCACCCGCGCCTCCTCAGCTGCCTCTTGTGTCGCGGCGCGAGCACCTTTCAGCGCCTCCAGTGCCCTGAGGGCGGGTCAGGAGAGCAGGCGGCAGGATTACTTAGAGGCCCGCGCTCTATACCAACGTTCACAGAATAAAAATGCACCAGGTACAAGGAGAAGCGGATATACCGGTAGACGGCGATAACCCCGTCCAAACCCCAGCCACCTAATAAATAAAATATAAAAGGATAATCATCGACTCACTCTGCCGACGCCTCCACCTCCCCTTCCAGCGCCCTCAGAGCCGCCTGCGACTCCTTCAGCTGCCGTACCAGCGACCCACACTGCGACTGCAGCGCCTCACCCTCCTGCTCCAGCTCCTCGCAGCGCGCCTGCAGCTCCTCACATCGCCCCTCCAGCTCCTCGCAGCGCGCCTGCAGCGTCCCACACCGCCCCTGCAGGGCCTCGCACTCGGGCTGCAGCTCCTCCTCGCAGCGCGCCTGCAGCCCTCGGCAGCGCTCCTGCAGCTGCTCGCAGCGGGCGTGCAGGACGTTACGTTCGCTGGCGGCCTCTTGGAGCTGCGCGAGCAGGGAGTCGCGTTCCGCGGTGGCGGCGCGGAGGTCTGACCTCAGGGCCTCCGCCTCCTGGGTCTGAAGGGGCAGGCAGGGCGAGCAGGGTGGTGGTGAGGATTGTAGGAGGAAGATGGGCGGGTTGCGAGTGGGGGATTGCGGGGGGTCTCAAGTACCGGTAGCCCGTGGCGGAGGGGATGCGAACATGTGACGTTAGAGGAGTGGGAAGGTATCGCGTGGTAACGTAGCGGTGGTCCGTGTGCATGCTCCCACCCGCTGCCCACAAAGCCCACCACACCACCACCACCACACCCGCATGTCCTCCTGCTGCCGAGCGAACTCCTCGAGCTGCTCCGCCTGCAGCGCCAACCGCTGCCGGCACTCGCACAGCCGCGCCTGCAGCTCGGCGGTGGCGGAGGCTGCAGGTGGGGAGGGGGATGCAGGTGGGGGACCGCAGGCGAGGTGGTGGGTGGGTTGTGAGTTATGACGGCGTAGCATGCACCTTGGGGGCGATAAATACAGGCGACGCGACAAAACCATACACGTTAGCTACCTAAAACATGGAATAGTGCAAGGAAACCTAGCGGAACGCGAGCTCTTAGGCCCCCCTTTCCAAGGTCCTTCCGCGACGCACCGCTCTCCGTCGCTGCAGCCTCCCGCTCCGAGAGCTGCTGTCGTACCGCTTCTAGCTCCTGCGTTGTGTCGTACACCTGCATGAGGAGCCCACCCAGGGTAGCGCAATCGAGCCTTATTAGACGCGACACCGCAGTCTATGTAGTTTGTTGTGCATACTCGTACCTTCCTGTGTGTGTTCCCAGTGTGAGTCTAGGCATGTGGCTACTCTTCCGTACAGCCACCGGCCTCCCCAGCCTACGCCACACAGCCGACCAAGATCGTCCTAACATCCGGTGGGTAAGTACCAGCGGACTCACCTGCTTTGAGAGCTCCTCGCAGCGCTCCTGAGCGGCAGCCAGCAGCTTCCCAGACAGCAGGAGCTCCTCCGAGAGCTGTACGACATGCGCCTCAGCTTCCTGCAACGGGTGCGACACATACACATCATGTTGCTGTGAGCACGCTGGCGCTAATATCACATGCACACATGCAGCCATACGACGACGACGCATGGCCAATCCTCCTTACCAGAGCGTTCCCGTAACCTTCAGGCGAGGACGTAGGAGCGTCAGCCCCCCATCCCTTCGAGCTCCCCACCCACACCATGGAGGTCTTCCCTCCCCTGCTACCAGTACATCTTGCCCTGCAAGACACAGCTAGCCCTTCGTACCTTCCGCTGCTCCTCCACCTCTTGCAACCGCAGAGTTGCCCGCGAGACCGCCGCTCGCATCCGCGCCTCGTCCTCCTCCACCTGCCTCTCCAAGGCCGTCTCCGCCTCCCTCCGTGCCCTCTCCAGCGCCTCTGCGCCCTCCCTCCGTGCCTCCTCTACCGCCACCAGCCCCTCCCTCCTCGCATCCTCCAACGCCGACTCTCGCTCCCGTCGCATTCGCTCCAACGCCGCTTCGCCTTCCCGTCGCGCCTTTTCAGCTGCCAGCTCGGCGCCGCGCTTGGCGTCTGCCATGGCGCGTTCGTACAGCTCCCTTTCTCGCTGTAACGCCAACGCTTGCTCCTGCATCATGGGCCGCTGGACGTCTTGGGTAGCGTTCCGGGCAGATATGCGTGACACAGCCCTCCCAACTTCTCCGCTCCTTCATGATAACCACGAAAATGCAGCTTAGTCCACGCGGCCCCATTCACCCGCCCGTACCTGCAGCTCCCCTTGAAGCGCCTGCATGGTGGCCGCCGCCTGCCTGTCCGCCAGCTGCCGCCCGCATTCAAATGCGAGGTCGGCCCGCTGCTGAGCTGCCGCCTCCGCAGCCGCCTCCTGATCCTGTGGACGGACAGGGGTACCGACAGCAGAACTCAGCCGCAATGAATCTCTGAACGGAAAGTAAATGCAACCAAAGGAAGACTGGAAGAGGAGGGCGTCCAATGGACAGCGGTGAGACGGGAGCGGGAGGGTTAGGACACACTGGGTAGGAGGTGGGAGCCGAGTGGGGCTATACACGATTTGCCCCACTAACGTTGAGAGCCACTTACCTTGAGAGCCCGCGTGGACTCCTGTTTCACCCGAGCTAGATCCCCGCTAAGCTGCTCCACCTGGGGAGGAAAAGAAGAGAAGATAAGGGCGCTGTTGTGTGGTTGTCACGGCGGCAGCGACGGGTGAGGTTGCAACACACAGTAACCTAACGTTGCCAAATGCCACACATTCTCAGCCTCCTTCACTACTCACATACCTAAACCACGTCCTAGGCCTGAAGCCTTGCCCGTTATCACGCTTAGTTCGGTTAGTTCGTTGTTTACTCTGTACCCCCTCCCTCCCCCGGCCAGTCCCACCTACCTGACGACTCAGTCGCGCCTCTCGCTCCGTGAGCCGTTCCACCTCATCCGCCCGCACCGCCGCAGCTGCCTGCTCCGAAGCCAACGCCTCTCGCAGCTGAGACCTGGCGTCCAACGCAGCCTGGGTAGAGGGTTAAGACGGATATGAGCATAAGAAGTGTGACCCATGGGTCGGCGTGAGGCTAGGGACAGCGGGGTATGATACAGAGGATTGGCGTTATGAGCTCATGACCCAGAGCATGGGAAGTCGTACGCTGAATTATAGGTGGTGTGGAGTGACTTGCGACGGTAGGTGTTAGAGAGGATTATAGTGCCAAAGGGACCAGGCGGCACGGCAGATGGCCTCACAGGCAGACGATGCTGCTACGGCGGCTGTACGCTACCTGCAGTTGCTCTTGCATAGCTCGAAGCTGCTGCTGCGTCGCTGTTCGGAGCTCCTGCATTAAGGGAGAAAAGGAAAGGTAAGCGGTGGAAGCGGATACGGGCATACATACGGTACCTGTGACGCAAGCTGCTCATAGCCCAGCACATAAACGCCAACAGCATTGACGGAGCCACGAGGGCTAGGCTAGGCTACTCGCCGTACCTCCACAGCAGCGGCTGCGGCCACCACTAGGCGCTCCTCCGCTGCCTCCGCCTCCGCAGCAGCAGCGGTGCTACCCAGAGCTGCCGCCTCCCCTCGGAACTGAAGGGGCGCGAGGCAGCAGGACAGACGGGTGGCAGTGCGGGTGTAAAGACACACAGCGGACAAGGACTCACAGCTTACTCCTCCTCAGTAAGTCAAACAACCCAAATGCAGTCAGCAGCAATGTGTGTTCCAAGCGCCCCACAAGCCTCCTTACGTATGCCTCCCCACTCTGGTCTCACCCTCAGCTGCACACCATCACTACGACTACGCGGCAGCAGCCGCCGAGGCGAGGAGCTCCTTCCCCCTGCTCCTCCTCCTCCTGCTGCTCCACTACCCGCCTGCAGCAGCTCCGACTGCCAGCCCAGCAGCGGCTGCAGCACGGCAGCCTCCACCTGCTCCAACAGACGGCTGCGGGCGGCCAGGGAGGTGCGCGCTGCCGCCAGCTGCTGCTGCGCGGCTGTGACGTCGCGGGTGCGGGAGGCCAGGTCAGCTGCATGGGAGCGCAGTTGGGCTGCCTGAGGGGGGGGCCCATGGCGAAAAGGGGGCCAAGAAGGGGGCAGGAATTAATGAAAGAGAGGGGCGCAAGGGAAAGATGGAAGGAGGGGCAAGACAAGGCATTCGTTAAGCGTTTTGGACAAGTCAAAGCCAAGCCACGACTGTGCGCTTAAGATCCAACCCACCTGCGCCTCCATCTTGTCTTCCACCGCCTGCAGCTTCTGCTGCGCTCGCTCCGCCACCCCGGCAGCCTGGTTGGCCGCCAGCTGCCAGTGCCGTACCTGTATGCGAGCGGGTGGGCGCACGGCAGCATGCTAGGAGTTGAGAGGCTACCGGTACACACGGAGGAGCGCGCCAGCCAGCCCGACAGCTGCAACCGCCAGTCGCCACCGTAGTGGTATCGCCATTACATCACATGCAGGGTCCTGATGCACCCATTGCCCGTCTATCTGTTGGTATTGGAGACCTTGGAGCTGGGAAAGCGCTTGCCTAGCCTGTACGACGACAATGATAGCCCAGTGCACCCACCTCCTGCGACAGGGCCTCGTGCTCCCGTGCGGCGCTGGCAGCTGCCTTCTGCAGCTCCCGCCGCAGCGCAGCGGTCACCTGAAGGTGGTGGTAACGGCGGGTGGGAGGTGTGTCTTATGCACGGTGTCGGATGTGTCGCAGGATGTGTTTCAGCCCTGTGTGCAGGGATAGTACGGGAGTACGACACTCACCTGCCGCTGCTGCTCCAGCTCGCCCATCAGCACCGCCTCCGCACGACTCGACCCTGCATGGGGCACAACGACGTAGAGGTAGAGGGAGTCGCGCAGCGAGCGATACATGTAGCCAGCATAACGATGTCATCAAGGCACTCCTTCCTTGCCCTCCCTCTGTTTTGATTAAAACACCCACCCTATTCCTGCCTGCCCAACCCCCACCAACACCCGCACTCCGTTCCTGCCGCCAGAATCCCCACCTGCCGCGAGCACCCTGCCCGCCGCCGCCACCTCCGCCCGGCTGTCCGCAAGCTGCTGCCGCAGCGCCTCGTTGGTCTGCCGCAGCTGCAGCAGCTCCGGAACCACACCCGCCTGGCTGCACACCACTGGCAGCTGGTGAGGGAGATGTGGTTGGGGTGAGAACTGAGGAGGTATGATGTGGGTCAGCGGTATGCAGCCGTGCAACAACATCCCCATGCGCGCTGGCATGCAACCAACGCTACTAGCGATACTTGTTCCAGTTGTTCTGTTCCATCGGGCTTACTTGCGCTTGCTGCTGGTGCTGCTGCTCGGAGCCCACACGCTCCCGCAGCTCCTTCTCACGCGCTTCAGCGGCGGCGGCCCGCTGCGACTCCCGCACCACAGCCGCGCTGAGCTCCGTTAGCTGCCGCTGCAGCCGGGCGTTCCTGCGTGAATTCCCGGCAGTTGTGGGGCTAGTGGGATTAGCCGAACAGGCTGGTTTTGCTAACCACATGGGGCTTTTGTACGACGGTAAATAGGAGGTGGCGTACAGAAGTGCCTCCTTTCCGATGTGGGTCGGCAGCTATGAAGCGCATTGCGGTGCCCCCTAGGCACTACGGCGTCTGTTCAAAAAGCGATTCCCAACTTGCCATCTATGTCCGCCTTTTACTCACTCTTGCCGCAGAGCATCCACTTCCGCTACCAGCTGCCGCCTGTGCAGCCCTCCGCCATCCACACCTTCTCCGTCCTCCTCCTGGTCGCGATCCCGTAGCTGCTGCTGCTGCTGCTGGTTGAGGTGCTGCTTGCACCGCCAACGGGCTGTCAGCTGCTGCTGCGACCCTGCGCTATGCCGCTGCTGCTGGTGCCGGAGCTGCCGGTTATGGACGCAGCCGTGCAGCCAAGGCTGGCAAGCTGCGGCGCCAGGTGATGCAGACACGTCGGTCTGCGCCGAGGAAGCGTCATCGTACTGGTCAGCGGCCACGCCGTTTGCCACGTCTGTGGTGTCACGGTTGGGAAGCAAGGATCACACCGGGCACTTCGGACGTGGGTTACGTAGAGATGGAGGGTAAAGCCTGGCGGACAAGGCATACTCTACAGCTGCTACCCTGGAGAAATGTTTGCATGAAGTATGGTTCCTATAGATGGGCTCCTACCGCTGGCCCCTTCATGCTCGCAGGGACCCCCGTCGCTGTCACCCTCAGCGCCATCGGCGACCGCCTGCAGGACCACCTGGAGATTCTCTAAGAGGGCCGAGAAATGCTGCGGGTTGACCTTGCCCTGCTCATAGCTCTCCAGAGCCCGTGAAACAGCGCCCAGGAGTGCCTGCTTGGATTCCTGAAGGACGCCACCAACGGCATCGAGTAAAGCAAGAGACGACTAAAGCCGCTGCAGTTACAAATATACAGATAACAACTTACGTCGCTTGACGCCTCCATAGGGAATTGCCAAGCCTAGTTTGCTGGGCCTCAGCTTTTGGCGACAGCTCAACTCAATGTCGTCTATTACCAGGCGTTTACTGGTGCCGGAAAGCCATTTCATATATGCAATTTGTAAATCTATTCGGCTTGCTTGTAAAAGTATTGGAAGGACTGTGGTCGAAGCCGATGAAGGGCACGGGATGGACGAACGAACTGAAGGACTTGATAACGGTCCTATTACACATCGCATCAATGCCAATCGTTCTCATACCAGGCGTGCGCTTTGCCTAGGCTTGGTAACGGCCAAAGTATGCTTGCTGTATAGCTAGCTTGACAATTACTTTCACCGAAAGGGACACCGGGACATTTGCTGCTTATGACTCTCGCAAAACGTCAGTGCTTACTGGAAAGATGACTTGGGCCGATTAACCTTACTGTAAGGGCCGAAGTTCCTCCTAAGCGATGCGGCAAGACGCATGCAGCCATGGGCCAAATTTCGCAGCCCAACGCCCTGGCCTGGCGTCCAAGTAAGTAAACAAGGCTGCCATAAAGCTACTCGCTGTGCGATGATGGATATGCCTGGCCGTCCTCCACTAGGGAGGTTTCTATCCAGAGTGCAAAGCACATGTCCCCTGCTGCACGCGTTCAGGCCTGGCCATAGAACGCTGGAGCAAATACACGAGATTGCAAACTTTCTACTGCAGCAGGTAACGGAGGTTGCTCTCTGTCGGAAGCCTTTTACTGCCCTGCACGCGCAATGCAGCTGGGACCTACCTTGCTGTTGGGGCGCTTAATAAGCGACTGCATGCTACACCCTTAAGGGACGCTTAATCCGACCTTCTGGCCTTTTAACCAAATCCTTGGCCTGAAACGTTCGACATTCATCCAGGTTTACCTTTCGGCCCTTCCGCCGCAGGCCTTCTTTGCGGGGTTCGAACGCGACCAGCTATTAGCAATCGCATATTTCGTAGGTGGGCTAACAATTTCTATGGCTGGCTACCTAGTATCGCTTTCAGCTAGCTTTTTCCCTAGCTAGCAGCGCTTCATCCCAACTTCCTTTCTTCACCAACCCATTTTTGCTGCCATATACACCCGGAACCAACCCGAACAGCTCAATTTGCTGTCCATTACAGCTTGTAAGTGCTCTACCCCAGTACTACACCCCATCGCGGTATTTTACCAACCCTCGGCTGTGTGCTTCCCGGCACCCCCGCCACTTGCACTCATTACCTTCCGCACGCTTCCCTTGATCCTCCGAACCATCCCATCCATCCCAAATCCCACCAACCACTCACCTCCCCGACCCAAATCACCCCCTCTCCCTCCTTCCCCCAGTCTCCAAGCACGCAGAACCCGGCGAATGCGTGCTCAGCAAGGACCAGCCCCTGGAGCAGTGGTGCCTCCTACTCGAGGGCGGCGTCGCCGTCACGCGCTACTCCGCCCGCCGCGGCTGCGAGCAGACCACCAGCGGCCTCACCGCTGACGGCAGCTGGAGCGAGGTGGCGCTGCTTCACTCCAGCCACCCGCGCCGCAGCTGCATCACGGTGGTGGGCGGGCCGCAGGGCTGCGTGACGCTGCAGCTGCGGCACTCGGACTTCAATGCGCTCACCGACCCGCGGCACAACTTGACGCTGGTGCCGCCGGAGGGAACGTACCCACTGGTGCAGCCAGAGCTGGTAAGTGTTACTGGTACCTTATGGGAGAGCATACGGTCCCCCCCGAGATACGCGGACACATGAGGCTTTGTGGTTCCGTGTCCCCGTGTCCCAAAGCAAATGGTCTCGAAATGGTCTGCGATACCTAGCAGGTCTGGTCAAATATCCACACCGTTGACCCAACCCCCTCCCTCTCCCTCCGCAGCCCATGCATCAGCGCCGCGCCGCCGCCCACGCGCTGCTGTGCTGCTGCATCCGCCGGCTGGCCTCAGCACGCGCCCCTGCCGTACGCACCCCAGAGGAGGCCGCCGAGCTGGAGCCCTTCCTGCTGGCGCTCCCTGCCTACGCCACCTACCCCGCTGAGCTGGCGTCCTGTCTGGCGGCGAGCTGCCGTACACTCAGGCTGCCGCCGGGGGGTCTTGTGTACGAGAATGGCACGCTGGCGGATGCAGCCGTGACGGTCCTGTCGGGGGAGGTGCAGCTGCGGCGGTTTGGGGGTGTGGGAGTGGGAATGATAGCGGAGGAGGGGGCGGAGGAGGGTGGGAGTGGGGGTGCGGTGGCGGCGGCGGGTCAGCGGATGGCGACGCCGACGCAGGAGCCGGCTGGGGAGGAGGACGGCGGTGCGCGGCTGAGCATTCGAGCGAGGTTGAAGAGGGAGCGAGAAGGTAGGAACACTGAACAGGCCAGGCCATTCAGCTATTGAAGCCTTGCTTTTCTTACCCACTTTAGCCACATGATCTCTGCGTACCGTACCCTGCCTTGCCGCCATAACATTCTTCCTCACTGTTCTTCCTTCCGCAGCCCGCAAAGTCATTCAGCGGCAGCTCGACGACTACCTTGCACGACTGGACGCAGCGGAACAGCGCGCTCTTGCAGAAGAGGAGGCCGCCAGCACCTCCGCTGCCACAACCACCACCACCTCCGCAGCCGCTGCAAACACAGCAGCCGGGACTGGCACCGCAGCCGCGAGCGCAGCAGCAGCAGCAGCGTCCGATGAGGCTTCTGGGACCATCAGCGACAGCAGCAGCAGTATTGGCAGCAGCAGCAGCGGATCTGCTACCGCCGCCGCCGCTGCTGCTGCCAACGTATTGGTTTTTTCTCAGACAGTCAGCGCTGAGGCGGCAAGCGGCAAGGCTGGCGGGTCGGGTACGGGTACGGGAACTGGCGCGAGCACGAGCGCTGCAGTAGGTACCGGGTTCAGTTATGTGGACTGGACGCGGCTGTTCATGCAGCAAGCCATGCGCAATGTGGAGCCCATGTGGAAGATGCTGCACCCCAATGACACGCCCGGCAAGGGGCGGCATGGGGGCGGTTCGGTCGGCAGCAGCGCCGGAGGCGAGGCGACGGCGGCGGAGGGGGCGATGGATGAAGAGCCTATGACGGGTGGGGCTGGGCTGGGCGGGGTTGGGTTGGGTTGAGGTCCCTGAGGGCCGGCACGGTATGCGGCGTATGTGCAGGATGTTTGCTGCACGCCAGCATGCATTCCAGCAACTCGGCATGGCCAACGCCGCAGCCCCTTACTGCGGTTAGAGATCTCGATCCATGCCCGCGTCCCCTTTCCGAGTAGTCCAATACTTGCATACTCCTCGCACATGGTCCTATCTACCGAATCCCTCACCTAGGAAGCATCGATGTACCGGTATCTCGCCCTATCCCGCCTCCCCCTGCAGCGGTCGCGCAGCTTCTAGGACCTGCAGCCGCCAAGGCCTACTACCGGGGCCTGCGGGGTCAGGGCTACACCGGCGGAGTGGCGGGCGCAGCCCTCCCAGCACAGCATGCAAGCGCCGGGGCAACAGCAGCAGCCACTGCTGCTGTTGGGCGGGCTGGGGAGGCTGCTCCAACGCAGTCGCCGCCGCCGCATGCATCGGCTGCGGCAGGACCGGTCATGCCGGCCCGGAGCAGTGAGCAGGGCCCGGGTCCGGACTCGCCTCCGAGGGCGCAGCGGGGGACCAAGTTTGCGTTCAGTGTGGACGGTCCTGAGACGGTGCAGGAGCGAAAGCTACGGTACGGCGGCACTGGGGGGGGCGAGGGCTGGTCATTCGGAAGGAGTAGATAAGCCTCATGGGTAGCAGCCCTGCAGCCCCAGAGTGGGAAGCGCCGCCTCCAGTTAGGATCGAGGGATGATGCTTCACGATCCTCCGCCAACAACCTTGAAAGAGGTATTAAGGTAGCTGCTTGTCTCGTCGCATGGTTGTTGCCGCAGAGATGTGGCCATGCGCGCGTCGCGTATCACCCGCGAGCGATCCATCCGTACGCGGCAGACCACCTACGATGCGGAGGAGTTGGACGAGGTGTACGGCACAACGGTTGCCACCCTGACCCATGGGTCACCCGTGGGCGAGCTGTCTACCGTCACGCTCCACAGTGCCATGCGGCAGGAGAGCGCGGTGGCTGGTAAGTATCAGGTGATAGGGCCGAGCCTCGTATTCCCGCATGCGCCGCATCCTACTACAACTGCCACCGCCTCTCCGCTTTCGATACGTCCTCATGGCAGGCCTCCACTTGTCCTCCTCAACCTTTTCCTCTGCACCTCTCCTCTCTGCGTCAATTCGTACCCACAGGGCCCCGCGGCTGCGACCTGCTCCTCGTGGACTGGGAGGCCTACCAGCAGGGCGTGCTGGCGGCTCGCGCAGCGCTGCTGGCTCGCTCCGCCGCCTTCCTGTCCTCGCTGCCCAGGGAGCGGCTGTCGCAGCTCGCGGAGCTGTGCCTGTGCCTCTCAGTGGAGGCGGGAACGCTGCTGGCGCGGCAGGCGGCGCCGCTGGAAGCGCTGGTGGTGGTGCAGGTGAGGGTTGGGGCGGAGGAGGGCGACCGGTATAGCGGGGTTTCGGCGATGGAATCGGGGACGGGTTGTGGACGGATGTCTGCCTGGTGGGTAGTTGATGATGGTTGAGGGTAATAAGAATATCTGCAATGGGTTAAGGCACGCTGTCGTTCCGATATGTTTGCAGAACGGCGAGCTGCACCTGCTCCACGAGACCACCAGCGCCGCCTCCCACGTCCGCACCGCCACCCTCTCCGCGCACGCCTTCAGCCGCACTCGCAACGGTCGTACCCACACGCTGCCGCTGCTGGCCACGCTCAGTCAGACCATGCTGCCCAGCGCCGCGCAGACGCCCCTCCATAACACCCCGCATACCTCGGTACGGCACATGCACATGCAACAGCAGCAGCGGGCGCGCACGCCGGGCACCCCGCCGCTGCTGCCCGTGTCGCCGCCGGCGGGGCCGCCGCCGCCGCCGGTTGGCGGACTCGGCGGGAGCGGAAATGGTGCCCTGGTGGAGGTATCACTCCAGGGGCTGCCGCTGGGGGAGCTCAGCACGGGCGGAATCGTGGGGGAGTCCATTCTGGGGATGCGATCCGGACCGCAGGCAGGAGGCGCTGCTGCTGCTACTGCAGGAGGCAGCAACCAAGCGGGACATGGGAACGGCCACGGCCAGGATTCGTCGGCCATGCTGCCAGGCAGGACGTCAGTGGGCGGCGCGGTTCACGAGGTGCATGCTGGGCCGGTGGCACCGCCGCCGCCTGCCGACGGGCCCAAATGGCCGGCGACGGTGCTCACGTCGCGGCCTAGCGTGCTGCTGGTCATCCCCAAGAGTGTGTTGTACATGGCAGAGTTTGACTTCCTGCGTGGGGAGCTCATGCGGTACGCCGCGGACCGCAAGGTCTGGCTTGACAAGCGCGTGGAGGCGGCGTACCGTGAGGCCGCGGCGCCGACGGCGCCGCACGTTACGTTCAGCCCCGCGCCGCCGCCGCAGCAGCCCACCACGCCGCAGTCCGCTGCGTCTGCGCGACGAGCCGTCGCGTCCCCATCCGGCGGCGGCTCTGCGACAGGAAACACGACGACGTCGGGGGCAGCAGCAGCGTCCTCGGCCACGGCGGCGCCACCCGCTGCGACATCATCCTCCGCTGCACAGCACAGCGACGGCACTTCTGCAACCACCGGTTCGGACGCAGCGGCGTCTGCATCGACGTCCGGCGGCTCGGGTCGTGCGAGGCAGACGTCATCCGCAGGCGGACCTGCCTCAGACCCATCACAGCAGGCTTCTTCAGGCACCGGCAGCAGTACGACAGGCAGCGCCTCCACAACGCCCACCACAACCATCACCCGGACCAACAGCGGCGGCGGTCAACGGCAAGTCGCCAGCAAGTGGGATTTCCTGGACGCGCCCACCTCCGCATCAATCTCCGGCGCCGCTCCTCCATCTCCCATGTCCACTTCAGGCGCTGCTGCCGGCTATGAAGCTCATCATGCCTCCGCAACCATGCCAGGCTGCCCCGGAATGTCGCCCCCCATGGGGCTTGGCCGTACACACCTTGTAGTGCCGCCGCTACCTCTCGCCGGCCTTGGCGCACGTCCAGGGAAGGTCCGGCCGCTTAGCGCGCAGCCGCGTCCCGGGCCCGTCCGCGTCCCCTCCTTCAGCTACCTCCACTCAGCTCGCGACTACACACCGACCTATAGCGGCGCAGTGGGTGCGGGCGGCGCCGCCGCTGGGATGTTTCTAGATGGCGCCGGTCCGTCCCCGGTGTACCGACCCATCCTAGAAGACGAGTACGACGATGACAGCCCGAGGTACGACATGCCCGCCTGCGCCGCCGCCGCAAGCGAGGGCCCTACGCCCCGCCGTGGCTGCACCCCGCCCGGCGGCTCGCCGTTGCTGCCCGCGCTGGCAATCCCCAGCTCCCCCTTCTCGCCCTCGCGCATGGTCACGCCCACGCATCGTGTAACGGTTACCGGTAGCGGTGGCGTAGCTGAGTTTGAGGGCTTGAGGACTGCTGGCAGCTTGCCGCCGCCACTGCTGTCGCTGCCGCTGCCAAGCCCCAACGGCGGTTCAACGCTCCGGGCTTCCATCCACGGCGGTGGTGGCAGCGGCGGCGGCGGCGGTGGTGTCCTTACCCCGCCTGGGGGACGTCGATCTCTCAGCGGATCATCCACCACCCCCGGTCTGCCGCCCCCTGTTTCCTCCAGCGTACTCGATTGCGCATACCGGCCCTCAAGCCCCTGCCTTGCGCCCCTCATCACCACCAGCGGCAGCAGCTTCAGCGGTCCTACCGGTCCCCCAAACAGCAGCAGGGGCAAACGCGCTTCGTACTCGGGCTTTGGCGGCCCGGGCGGCTACAGCGGCGACCGGCGTTTCACCATTTCTGGAGGCGACGTCCTCAACTCCATGGGACCCATGCGTCGAAGCGACGTGGGTTCGCTTCCGCCCAGCAGCCCCCGCCCTGTGATGGTGCCAACGGCGACGGCGACAGTAATCATGGCCACCGCAGCAGCGGCATGCACCTCCCCGGTTCCTCTGGGCTCTTCCGTGCCTGGCCTGGGCGTATTGGACATGCTGGATGGAAGCTGCGCGCCACCGTCGCCGGTGGGGGTGCCCGGCTGTGGCGCCGGCGGCGGCGGATACTACAGCCGTACTCCGCGCGTCAGCGCTAGCGGCGCCGTAACGCCTCGGCTCGCGGGTGTGGATTCGACGAGGCAACCCATCTTGACGGTGAGTGACGGCGCCAGGCGTGCTGCTGCGGTGATGGGAGCGCGCGTGAGTACTGCAGGAGGTGTGGCGGCGGAGGCGGCGGCGGCTGCGGCTGCAGCGGCGGAGGCGGAGGAAGAGGCAGCGCTAGCCCGGTCGCTGGTGCCTAGGAACCAGGCAGGGACGTTCATGGTGCGTGAGGGAGCCGCTTCGACACCTGCTAGAGTGGCCGCGACAAGACGCATTGCCAACTGCTTTTGAAGGGCAGCGGGTTACGATGGATGATGGAGGAGTCACGAGTATTACCGGTACCGTGTTTGGCCCTTTGGCTGGCTACCGGTATCAAGAGCCCAATGATGGATATTTATTTGTAGGATGACGGGTTTTGACGTGTGCCTTGCTGTGAGAAGCAGGATTGGTCAGATGTGGTCGGCACGTGCGTTGCAGGAATGCAAGGTCCCGTGCATGTGTCAGCTTGTGAGGATTGTACGGCTTGGCATTGGCTGCAGGCTGTCGTTGGTTCATTGCAGTTGTGAGATGTGAGACGGTACTCGGGTTTGGGTCTCCGGCAAGACTGTGTTGTTGCAGCAGTGTCTGCTGACAAAGAGGGCTGTCCAGAAGAGGATTCATACACCACTGGTGCGGTCCCGTGCATTGTTGCGTGCCTATACAAAGTGCATGGCGCTATGTTCGCCTCGACGCGCCATGTTGCGCGCTATGTCGCCGTTTCTTTCTGTTATGAAGATTCATGGAGCAGGTTGTGGTGATAATCAGCTAATGGATGATGTGAATTCCTTCTTTGCATTGTGAGTTTGTGACACCACAGCCAGCAGTGCGCTTACGCGGTCTGCTGGCTTGCCTGATCGTGTGACTGATTCATCCCGTGTAGGCCCTGTGGGAGTCAGTGTGCTGGACATGAAAGCCATTGCGTGCGTTCGGCATATGTGCCGTTCAGATGGCGTGTATTCCTTTCAATCAGAGACTGTACCGTACTCTGCCGTACTTCGCTGCAGTGCGGCCGATGCTGTTGCGAGCCAAGGCATGGTTGGTTGAATTTAAGCTGCCGTCGTGTTTTCCGCTTTCCTGTGCTGCCAACCGGCTGCAAACAAGCAGTGAGAAACGTGTCAGGGCTGCTTCGTCCGGCCGGGCCTATGCCTAGCACGCAGCTGTAAAACCTTCAAAGGATGTGAGTTACATGCGTCCTACGCCCGAGTGGCGTAGCGGTCACATCTTGCCTCACAATCAAACCCTTGCGGCCAGCACCCAGCAGCGAAGACATCACGCCTCGCGGTCCTCGCGGTGAAGCCGTGCGTGTAACCCGGCACGCGTCATGGAAAGCGCCACGGTAGGCGGCACCTGCTCAACGTCCAGTAGGTTGTAGGTTAGCCAGGACAAGGCGAGGATCAAGGGGTGGCCACAAATGATCCCGAAGGTGGGTGCTAGGTCGCCGGGTGCTAGGTCGGTGGGTGCTAGGTCGGCGGGTGCTAGGTCGGCGGCTGCTAGGTCGGCGGGTGCTAGGTTGCCGGGTGCTAGGTCGGCGGGTGCTAGGTCGGCGGGTGCTAGGTCGGCGGCTGCTAGGTCGGCGGGTGCTAGGTCGGCGGCTGCTAGGTCGGCGGGTGCTAGGTCGCCGGGTGCTAGGTCGGCGGGTGCTAGGTCGGTGCGTGCTAGGTCGGTGGGTGCTTGGTCGGTGGGTGCTAGGTCGGCGGGTGCTAGGTCGGCGGGTGCTAGGTCGGCGGGTGCTAGGTCGCCGGGTGCTAGGTCGGCGGGTGCTAGGTCGGTGGGTGCTAGGTCGGTGCGTGCTAGGTCGGTGGGTGCTAGGTCGGCGGGTGCTAGGTCGGTGAGTGCTAGGTCGGTGAGTGCTAGGTCGGCGGGTTCTATGTCGGCGGGTGCTAGGTCGGTGCGTGCTAGGTCGGTGAGTGCTAGGTCGGCGGGTGCTAGGTCGGTGGGCGCTAGATCGGCGGGTGCTAGGTCGGCGGGTGCTAGGTCGGTGCGTGCTAGGTCGGCGGGTGCTAGGTCGGCGGGTGCTATGTCGGCGGGTGCTAGGTCGGTGCGTGCTAGGTCGGTGGGTGCTAGGTCGGCGGGTGCTAGGTCGGTGGGTGCTAGGTCGGTGCGTGCTAGGTCGGTGGGTGCTAGGTCGGCGGGTGCTAGGTCGGTGAGTGCTAGGTCGGTGAGTGCTAGGTCGGCGGGTGCTAGGTCGGCGGGTGCTAGGTCGGTGCGTGCTAGGTCGGCCGGTGCTAGGTCGGTGGGCGCTAGATCGCTGGGTGCTAGGTCGGTGGGTTCTAGGTCGGCGGGCACTAGGTCAGCGGGTGCTAGGTCGGCGGGTGCTAGGTCGGCGGGTGCTAGGTCGGCGGGTGCTAGATCGGCGGGTGCTAGGTCGGTGCGTGCTAGGTCGGCGGGTGCTAGGTCGGCGGGTGCTAGGTCGGTGCGTGCTAGGTCGGTGCGTGCTAGGTCGGTGGGTGCTAGGTCGGTGGGTGCTAGGTCGGCGGGCGCTAGGTCGGTGCGTGCTAGGTCGGCGGGTGCTAGGTCGGCGCGTGCTAGGTCGGCGGGTGCTAGGTCGGTGTCTGCTAGGTCGGTGGGTTCTAGGTCGGCGGGCACTAGGTCAGCGGGTGCTAGGTCGGCGGGTGCTAGGTCGGCGGGTGCTAGGTCGGCGGGTGCTAGGTCGGCGGGTGCTAGGTCGGTGGGTGCTAGGTCGGCGGGTGCTAGGTCGGTGGGTGCTAGGTCGGTGCGTTCTAGGTCGGTGGGTGCTAGGTCGGCGGGTGCTAGGTCGGTGAGTGCTAGGTCGGTGAGTGCTAGGTCGGCGGGTGCTAGGTCGGCGGGTGCTAGGTCGGTGCGTTCTAGGTCGGCCGGTGCTAGGTCGGTGGGCGCTAGATCGCTGGGTGCGAGGTCGGTGGGTTCTAGGTCGGTGGGTGCTAGGTCGGCGGGTGCTAGGTCGGCGGGTGCTAGGTCGGCGGGTGCAAGGTCGGTGGGTGCTAGGTCGGTGGGTGCTAGGTCGGTGGGTGCTAGGTCGGCGGGTGCTAGGTCGGCGGGTGCTAGGTCGGCGGGTGCTAGGTCGCCGGGTGCTAGGTCGGCGGGTGCTAGGTCGGTGCGTGCTAGGTCGGTGGGTGCTAGGTCGGCGGGTGCTAGGTCGGCGGCTGCTAGGTCGGCGGGTGCTAGATCGGCGGGTGCTAGGTCGGTGCGTGCTAGGTCAGCGGGCGCTAGGTCGGCGCTTGCTAGGTCGGGGGGTGCTAGGTCGGCGGGTGCAAGGTCGGCGTGTGCTAGGTCGGTGGGTGCTAGGTCGGTGCGTGCTAGGTTGGCGGGTGCTAGGTCGGCGCGTGCTAGGTCGGCGGGTGCTAGGTCGGCGGGTGCTAGGTCGGCGGGTGCTAGGTCGCCGGGTGCTAGGTCGGCGGGTGCTAGGTCGGTGCGTGCTAGGTCGGTGGGTGCTAGGTCGGCGGGTGCTAGGTCGGCGGCTGCTAGGTCGGCGGGTGCTAGATCGGCGGGTGCTAGGTCGGTGCGTGCTAGGTCAGCGGGTGCTAGGTCGGCGCTTGCTAGGTCGGGGGGTGCTAGGTCGGCGGGTGCAAGGTCGGCGGGTGCTAGGTCGGTGGGTGCTAGGTCGGTGCGTGCTAGGTCGGCGGGTGCTAGGTCGGTGCGTGCTAGGTCGGCGGGTGCTAGGTCGGTGGGCGCTAGATCGCTGGGTGCTAGGTCGGGGGGTTCTAGGTCGGCGGGCACTAGGTCAGCGGGTGCTAGGTCGGCGGGTGCTAGGTCGGCGGGTGCTAGGTCTCCAGGTGCAAGGTCGCCGGGTGCTAGGTCGGTGGGTGCTAGGTCGGTGGGTGCTAGGTCGGTGGGTGCTAGGTCGGCGGGTGCTAGGTCGGCGGCTGCTAGGTCGGCGGGTGCTAGGTCGCCAGGTGCTAGGTCGGCGGGTGCTAGGTCGGTGCGTGCTAGGTCGGTGGGTGCTAGGTCGGCGGGTGCTAGGTCGGCGGCTGCTAGGTCGGCGGGTGCTAGATCGGCGGGTGCTAGGTCGGTGCGTGCTAGGTCGGCGGGCGCTAGGTCGGTGCGTGCTAGGTCGGCGGCTGCTAGGTCGGCGGGTTCTAGGTCGCCGGCTGCTAGGTCGGTGGGTGCTAGGTCGGTGGGTGCTAGGTCGGTGCGTGCTAGGTCGGTGGGCGCTAGGTCGGTGGGTGCTAGGTCGGCGGGTGCTAGGTCGGCGGGTGCTAGGTCGGTGAGTGCTAGGTCGGTGTGTGCTAGGTCGGTGCGTGCTAGGTCGGCGCGTGCTAGGTCGGTGGGTGCAAGGTCGGTGGGTGCTAGGTCGGCGGGTGCTAGGTCGGCGGCTGCTAGTTCGGCGGGTGCTAGGTCGCCAGGTGCTAGGTCGGCGGGTGCTAGGTCGGTGCGTGCTAGGTCGGTGGGTGCTAGGTCGGTGGGTGCTCGGTCGGCGGGTGCTAGGTGGTGGGTGCTAGGTCGGTGCGTGCTAGGTCGGTGGGTGCTAGGTCGGCGGGTGCTAGGTCGGTGCGTGCTAGGTCGGTGAGTGCTAGGTCGGCGGGTGCTAGGTCGGTGGGCGCTAGATCGGCGGGTGCTAGGTCGGCGGGTGCTAGGTCGGCGGGTGCTAGGTCGGCGGGTGCTAGGTCGGTGCATGCTAGGTCGGTGGGTGCTAGGTCGGCGGGTGCTAGGTCGGTGGGTGCTAGGTCGGTGCGTGCTAGGTCGGTGGGTGCTAGGTCGGCGGGTGCTAGGTCGGTGAGTGCTAGGTCGGTGAGTGCTAGGTCGGCGGGTGCTAGGTCGGCGGGTGCTAGGTAGGTGCGTGCTAGGTCGGCCGGTGCTAGGTCGGTGGGCGCTAGATCGCTGGGTGCTAGGTCGGTGGGTTCTAGGTCGGCGGGCACTAGGTCAGCGGGTGCTAGGTCGGCGGGTGCTAGGTCGGCGGGTGCTAGGTCGGCGGGTGCTAGGTCGGTGGGTGCTAGGTCGGTGGGTGCTAGGTCGGTGGGTGCTAGGTCGGCGGGTGCTAGGTCGGCGGCTGCTAGGTCGGCGGGTGCTAGGTCGGCGGGTGCTAGGTCGGCGGGTGCTAGGTCGGTGCGTGCTAGGTCGATGGGTGCTAGGTCGGCGGGTGCTAGGTCGGCGGCTGCTAGGTCGGCGGGTGCTAGATCGGCGGGTGCTAGGTCGGTGCGTGCTAGGTCGGCGGGTGCTAGGTCGGTGGGCGCTAGGTCGGGGGGTGCTAGGTCGGCGGGTGCAAGGTCGGCGGGTGCTAGGTCGGTGGGTGCTAGATCGGTGCGTGCTAGGTCGGCGGGTGCTAGGTCGGTGCGTGCTAGGTCGGCGGGTGCTAGGTCGGTGGGTGCTAGGTCGGTGGGCGCTAGGTCGGCGGGTGCTAGGTCGGCGGGTGCTAGGTCGGTGGGTGCTAGGTCGGCGGGTGCTAGGTCGGCGGGTGCTATGTCGGCGGGTGCTAGGTTGGTGCGTGCTAGGTCGGTGAGTGCTAGGTCGGTGAGTGCTAGGTCGGCGGGTGCTATGTCGGCGGGTGCTAGGTCGGCGGGTGCTAGGTCGCCGGGTGCTAGGTCGGCGGGTGCTAGGTCGGTGCGTGCTAGGTCGGTGGGTGCTAGGTCGGCGGGTGCTAGGTCGGCGGCTGCTAGGTCGGCGGGTGCTAGATCGGCGGGTGCTAGGTCGGTGCGTGCTAGGTCAGCGGGTGCTAGGTCGGCGCTTGCTAGGTCGGGGGGTGCTAGGTCGGCGGGTGCTAGGTCGGCGGGTGCTAGGTCGGTGGGTGCTAGGTCGGTGCGTGCTAGGTCGGCGGGTGCTAGGTCGGTGCGTGCTAGGTCGGCGGGTGCTAGGTCGGTGGGCGCTAGATCGCTGGGTGCTAGGTCGGGGGGTTCTAGGTCGGCGGGCACTAGGTCAGCGGGTGCTAGGTCGGCGGGTGCTAGGTCGGCGGGTGCTAGGTCTCCAGGTGCAAGGTCGCCGGGTGCTAGGTCGGTGGGTGCTAGGTCGGTGGGTGCTAGGTCGGTGGGTGCTAGGTCGGCGGGTGCTAGGTCGGCGGGTGCTAGGTCGGCGGGTGCTAGGTCGGCGGGTGCTAGGTCGGCGGGTGCTAGGTCGGTGCGTGCTAGGTCGGTGGGTGCTAGGTCGGCGGGTGCTAGGTCGGCGGCTGCTAGGTCGGCGGGTGCTAG